AGGAACCTATGGGACAGTATTCGCAGTAAAGAGAATTGAGTTAGGTAAGTAGTAACGTTCCCCAGGCTAACAGTGCCCTTGCCTGGGGGTTTGTTATTTTACACTATTTATTTAGAGAGAAATTATATTAGAAAATTCATGAAAAGTGTACAGTATTTCTATCTGAATCAGCCCCATTTTTTTTAATCCGTGATTGTTACTTTATAGCATTTTATTTTGTTTACAAAATCGTATTCTAGGCCTGAATTTTCGTCCTCCTCTGAATTTTGGTCATTGTTTCTTTAGCATGTTAGCAGGAGAAATTGATCCTAAAACTACTGGTTGATGATTGTGCATAAACGAGTTGCGTAATTTGTTCTAATAATTTTTATCATTATCTTACTCTTAGATTTTTTTTGGATGAATTCATGACGATGGTCAATTAATATACAGGAAGTGAAAAAACAGGATTGATGCATGTAGAAATCATTCTATCAATGATTGTGATCAATACCCGTACAGTATACAAAGGAACCCCAAGATGTGGATGTAATTGGTGTATGGACCTGGTCCCCAAGTTGGAATTTCTGCATGTTGGAACTAGTTTTCCCATAGACTTCAATCCAAATAGTTTCAATTGGTTCTCAGTTAATGAATAGTCACAAAAATCCATCAAAATTAAATGAAGTTATTTTTTCTAAATTTCAATATATACAGAAAATGAACATACAGAAGAACACCACCCGCCAGAATCTAATATTTTGACATCAGAATGAGCTCAAGAAACAAAGAACAAAAGAGCACATCCTTGCTATATGCTGAGCACACATGATGGGGAAAAACTGAAAAAGCAGCAACAAATAAGCCTGTTTTTGATTATGCATTAAGATAATCTTACAATGAAAATTATTTTTAACATTTTCACCCAAATATAAATAGCTTAATTTCTTCAAGAAATACAAAAATTCATAAAATTCGAATTATAAAATTATTTTTGGAGTCATGGAAAAGTGTCTTATCTTGAGTCTATATCTGGATGTTGGGGGTCGATTTTTTGAAGTGTCTTAAGTAATTTAAAGTGTCCCTAAGTCGAATTGTCCGTCTGTCATGGTGTCCAAATTTGGGGTCAAACTGTATTTTTTTTTAATTACCTGAGTAGTTTCTCAAAGTAGAAGTTGAGAGTTTTAGTCGGATATTGTGGGCCTGAATTTTTCAGAGATAATTCTCAGCGTGCTTCTTCCGGTTTACAACGAGAGCTTCCCTATTTGGAGCAGTACAGATAATGCCGGAAGTGACACAGTTTCTTTTACGCTTCCTGGTGGAAGAAGGATATCCAGTACAGTATTACGCAATATATAATACAGTACATGTATTTGAATTCTCGTGATCCCGAAATCCTATATTTCTTATGGGCAAATATAATTTATTTTCTTACGTGTAAAAGACGAGAAAAGTCGAAGAAAGTATTCTGATGTCGAACTTTGAAAATCTGACCTACACCCATATAATTGGGGATGAGGGAGGGTTATGCGGTAAACCTTGTGATTAAATTTTGATATGCATGATTCCATTGTTAAGAATCCAAGAAATTCTCAAGCACAAATGATTTTTAACTACAGTTAAGTGATGTGCTTTCTGTAGAAAATAAGCTCAGTTGAACTTGAATCATTGGTATATTTGATATTCAAATTTATTTTCTTCAATGATATAGGTGGAATATATGAGATTGAGGTACTGCCTGAACTCAATCATCCCAAGCCACACACAATTTTCAGGGCATTTTGATATAGAAAGCCTTATACAGTTGAACCCAACCCTGATAAGTTGAACCTTGCTAAGTCAAATACCTCCCTAACTGAAAATTTTTTAAAGTCACTGTCTGGATTCCCTTCAAAACAATGAATTTAATACCTCACTAACTGGAAGTGTGTTTTTTTTAAACCTCTGTAAGTCAAATTTTCTGAGGCCTTTTGATTATTATTTCCTTGAAATATGAAAGAAAAAATCAATAAAACATATGATGTTATGCATTTTGAAATGAGGTGAAAGACTGATGTAACAAGTGAACCCCTGCCCCCAAGTTCAGCAAGCTGTAAACTCATGAAGAACCAAGTTTAGGACCAGAATATCTTCATTTATAATTTACCACAATTTTGTACTGCTCCTTTCAGCAAGAATCCCTCCACTCAAACCCTCCAAAAATTAAAGCCTCCCTCAGTCAAAACCTCCATATGTTGAAACTTTTTCCTGGTCTCTAGAAATTTGACTTGGAGAGGATCAACTGTACAAACATAAATATGGTATTGATTCACTGCTGTATATAAGAGAAATTAGGGGGAGTCATGCAGAAGAAACCTGTAAATTTCATTTGAGGAGCATGATTTCAAACTTACAAATCCTAGAAATTCTCAAGCACAAATCATTTTGAAGTTACAGGAAGTGACGTTGCAATATACAAGGGATAATCAGTTGAACTTTTCATTTGGGTTAGGCATTTGGAGATGTCTAGTTTTTCTTTAACAATATGAAAATTGATTTGACTATTGGATCATGGGATATTCTCACTTTTCCAAACCTAACTTTTTCTTTGGTGAAGAATCTGGAAACCCTTCACCCAAGATTCTTATCTCACTGATGCACATAAGCTTCTGGTGCAAACAGGGAATTTGAAAACCTAATTCCTAAATGCATGAAATAATTTATTTCTGCACCATATAGTTGAACTCAATTGCGTGAAGCCGCACTTAAGTTCCAGAGCATGATAAAATATATGTTTCGAAATTACAGTCTAATCAAAAATTGGCAACTCTGAAAATCCTTGAGTTTCACTCAGTATTCTGCCCCTCTGTTTGATCGTCATATTATAATTATTTCTTGCAGCTGGACGAAAAGGGTGCATTTGGAAATTTGATTGGTGGAAACTGTCCGGATATCTTGAGCGTTTGTTGCTTGGATCCTGAGACCAACAGCCTGTTGCCTCCGCCAATAACAGCACACGTACCCCAATGCGGAACCCGACACGATTTGGGCATCGATGTTCGCATCACCTATGACAAGAACAAGGTGACTAAAAAATGAAACTCTTTTTTTTTATTCCTTCCATGTTTGTAACCTCGGAAATTAAAAATTAACTTATATAAGTTGCTTCGAGAAAAAAAAAAAAGCTGTGAATTGATGAAAAATATTCCGGGCATTCCTTTGGCCTCGCCTTCTCCGTTTTCTCAATTTTTTTTTAGAAGGTAAGAATCGTGATGAATAGATGAAAGCGGGTTATGATGAAAAAATGACGTCTTTTTAAAGATCCCGAGGATAATTTGCATTCCAAGTGGAAGGGCGAAAATTCCCGGCATTCAATACTTTCTTTGCAGAGGAATTTAATGAGTGGATGAGCCTGCAATACAGCTTTTTTTCCCACTTCTTCATGAAATGTAATTCTGAACTTAGATGAGGTAATTTTCTCCAACACAGCAGCCCCGTCAGCATTTTTATTTCAGAATTGTCAATGCTATGTGATTTTGCTAATCAAAGGTACAAAGATTTGAAAATTTGAAAGATTTGAACGTTGATCTCGTGTGTCGAACACGACTCGTGTGCTGAGAGTCAATCGGCCATTTCTTGCGTAATTATTTTGCACTCTTTAAAAAATGCAATATAGGTTGAGAAGTTCGGATTAGGTCGGCATGAGACCCAGTTTGGAGAATTCCCGTGGATGGGAATCCTATTGAAAGAATCGAACGTGAACCCGGATGGAGTGCATTTCCTTTGCGGGGCTTCGCTGATCCACCCTCAAGTTGTGATGACTGCTGCTCATTGCCTGAGGCCCGCACAATTCAAGTGAGTCATTAAACGGATTAATCTGGTTTCAATGTTTCATTTGATTGAACTTTTCCGAGTATCAACATGAGCAAAATATATAAATTTGATGAATACCGTTTTTACCCGAGTACCACGCGTCCATGAAGCCTACCTTAATTCGTTTTTTTTTTTTTTATCCAAGATTTGTCCAAAATGTCATTCCTACATAAGACGCGAACACCAGCAAATGGCTGAAATTCGATTTTTAATTCAAATTATAATGTTGAACAAAATAATAGCATGAATAAATTTGATAATATGTATAGAGCATGTTACCTGGATTTGAGCCGAACAGAACTCCATGTGTATCATTTTCACTTACAAAGTGATCATTTCTGGCTTGAACCACAACGTTCATAATTTTTTGCTTACAGCAATTTTTATTTGCATATGTACCACACAGACTCCACTGTTCTGCCTTGATTTTGCAGCTAAAAGGTACACAGGGTACTTGAGTAAATTTTGTACTGTATACATTACGAGGAAATGCAGCCCATATCAACATTGATAGAATAATTTCTTTGATCCTGACGGAATAGGATTTGCAAATTATTTTAGAAGATAATTTATTTTCCAAGTTACAAAATTTTTGAACCTTTAACCAGTTTTAGTGATTATAGTTATTTAGTTTTACTCTGAAATATTTTGATCATGGACCGCAATTATCAAAGTCGGTAACTTGTTTAGGGGAAATTTTGACTTGTAAAATAACAATAGCAGCAAAATAAATTGTTTGAAGCTTGAAATAAAAGAAGTCTTCAGCAGCCATCAGTATCACAACTTATTACTGTACATGAAATCTTCGAATGTGTTGCTTTACGTATTCTGGGTAGATTTACGTGTAGTGAGCCAGTGTAACGCATCATTCCATTTATTTTTAACGACTCTCTCCTAAAGAAAGAAATTCTATACGAATACATTTAAAAACAAAATTAGAAGACTATATATGCATTATGCTCATTATTAATGGGAAACTTATTGCACCAAGTTATTATAAGAAATGCGTGTTTTCATGCAGACAATTCAAAACCAGTTGAATAATTCAGGTTCATGAACCTGAAATATTCAACTCATTCATTCATTCTTTCACTCATTCTCATTCTTTCACTCGCAATTCATTTCCAAGTTCGGTATTCTCGTTGTTGAAATATTGCAGTTTTACAGTCACTATAAACATTTGGTGTGCGTCTTATACTCAAGGATACAATTTTATGCGAATGTTTGCCTGAAATCCCCTGGTTTGGGTATTTTCTGCCTCACTGCTGGATGAGGGCTCGTGGTACTCGAATAAATACAGTACTTCCGCGCTGATTATTATGCAATGAAATGGCTGGAGTGCATTTCGCCGATGAGTTGTCATCGTGCCCTCGAAAAGAATAATATTCCGCCGAATGCATCAGGGCACCTTTTGTACACGGAAAACTAGGTCATCCCGTAAAATCCGGGGGCATGCAAAGTCGCATGATCGCGTGACGGAAATGGAGTCCTTCAGGCATGCCCTGATAGAAAAGCTCCCTTTCATGAGTGAATTTTGTTCGCGACATCGAATTGCCCCAGGCGTAAAATAATTCTTTCATTTTTTTCAAGTATTTGCGCCATTTCGAGTCCACATTTTCTGACTCATCGTGGTTCAATTTCAGCAGACTGAGTCTGAGGAAATTTCGACGCGTTGTGATATGAGTTCTGAAGGAACGTATATATGACCAAACCCATAAATCGTGGAACTGCTTCGAGATTTGTGTTCGAAAAGAACATGATAAAAATTTTCAAATCATTTCTTTCCAGAGTCAGAAGCGAAATTTCAAATCAATGTGGCACTATTTTGAGCATTTTGCTGTAATAAAGCGGATATGACCTTCAGTCGAAAATCATTTCGTTCAAAACGCAAACTGTTCAGAAAATAAGGACAAATGTTTATGAATTCTCAAAGGGGGTATTACAGATCTTTCAAACGTGGTTTACTCGACAATTTCTGCATACAAAATAGCTGTTTTTGAGTTATCAGCGCAATATTAGTACTGTGTACCAACATTTTATATTAAGTTTGAAAGCATTAAAAAATGTGCGGTAACCTAGAGCCAGTTTGAGAATGAATTGGAATTCTCTCCATCAATAAGTTCATTCAATCGGGAATCGTTTCAAAATTTCAGGATGGCTAATTTTAATTTATTGAACATAGCTAGGGAGCAATCACATCATCATTCGTCAAATTTTGAAGCATCCACTATAATAGGAAAACCGTTGGATTTTTATAAATTGAGGTTATTGTTCAGAAATTTCTATAGAGCATTTTTGTCCATTCAACTCAAAATGAAGATAAAGTCAGATTTTTCGTGGTTTTCATTCATTTTACATTTAAGTTTTATGAAACAATAAAATTTCACTTTCCCGAACATTTTCGAACTGTTCAAAGAACTTACAGAGTTTCTGAAAAATTCTACGTCATCTTCTGTCGAGTATTGGTGCATTCACGGGAGAACCGGATTTCATGAAAATTTCAGTGAAATTATTAACAAGGCGTCGTCTCTTGGTTTCCATTCATTCCATCGGAAACCGATTGAATCCGTAACTTTTTTGGGTGTACCGCGTATGCTGTAGTACTCCTATCGGTTGGTTGCGTGATACTAAGTACAGTACATAGATAGTAGAACCCCGAATTGTCCTACAGAGTTTGAATTTTATTCCTTTTTTAGTTATTGTGATTCCGTATTCGGTTCTTTTTTATTTTAATTTCAGTCCCTCGACGGAGAAACTCATCATTCGAGCTGGCGAATGGGACACGACTAACGACTACGAGCCTTACCCACACCAGGATCGTTATGTCACGAAGGTACGGCAATGATGAACATGCAAATTTGTGTCTTTTTTTATGGGTCTTGTTGCACTCATTTTCACTCTATTAGCGAGTGGGATTTTGGAGAAGAGAAAATCGGGCCATATTTCCAGAGATTTCTCAACAGAATATTCATGAAATTGTTCATCCTTTCTTTGAGTTTCGACTTTCGAGGTTCAGTTGCTGTGTTAGCTATACAAATTGTATCCTTCAGTCAAGAAGAGAAAGGTACTTCTTCATGAATTTTTAGCATAGTGCAATTTTACAAAAATTGAGAATTATTTGTATGCCCGAATAAAAAAAAACAGAGGCGGAATAAATCCAACAGGAATTGGTAAAATAATTCTTCACATCAGTTAAGAGTATCACAAGTCATTTCAATTTATGTCCTCTCGAGTGTGTCGTTTCCGCTTTTAATTGCAAAGGAAATGTTGACTGATACTGTGCTAAAACATGAATAACTTTAAGATGATTATCATTTCGTCCATTTAAAAAAACTGTCTGTGCTCGGTTGTTTCATTCAAATGAGTAAATCCTTTTTCAGTACTTGATTTACTTCCACGAGTATCTCTATAGTGCGGAAATGGTGAAAAGGTTGAATTTATTCATATAATTGTTACACAAAATCAACGCGACATCAAAAACGAAGAACCAAAGCATTTTTTTGGTGAATGTTTAAAAAAGATTTCGTCATAATCCGCGGGTTTTTTTTATTAAAACCCCTCATTGAATATTAAAATTTTGCGTTGTTTGATCATGTCCAGCAGTGGAAAAAATTAGCATTGCCCCTATTTGTCGTGCCCCATAATTAATCAGAGTGTTAATGAAGGCGATTTTTTTGGAGAAGGCTTCGTCCTCACAAATTCAACCGCATGATTTATTCAAGAATGCAGCTTTTATTATTCGTAAGATGAGCATGACAGATCATTGGCAATCAACGAAATTTCGCCACTAATTATTCGTGAGACGCAATATCATCGATTTTTCCATGATGAATCCTCATCGCAAACGCATGTTCAAAAGACCCGCAAATTAAAATAGAACTTACGCATTTACCTAGCATGCATCCAGCATATCTTTTGGCCCGACTGCATATATGAATATAAATTTAATTATATGTGATAGATGGCAAGATCCATGCAGTGTGGAATATAAATAATTTATATCCCACACCTAGATTGTAAGGTTATGTCATGGGCTTATTGTTTTTCTTGGAAGGTTGTGCGTCATCCCGACTACCAGCCAGGCCCTTATTACAACAACATAGCTTTGTTGTTCCTGGACAAGCCATTCCAGTTGGATCGTCACATCGACACTATTTGTCTGCCCAAGCCAGGATTCACCTTCCCGCCAGGAACGGAATGTATCGCCACTGGATTCGGCAAAAACGCTTTTGGTGAGAAAGTCATATATGCAGAAATTCGAAGACATTTTCAATCGCTAAAGCCTATAATAGCCATTCCACATACCAGGGTTGTCTCAGTTGGACGCGAACTCTGATTTTTTTTAGAGTATAGGTATGATTTCCAAAAAAAATCAAAACATAGCCCATGATGTTCTGAGGTTCTGGGAATTTTTTCCGGATTTATCAGAATTTATTTCAAATTACTGTAAGAAAATAAGTAAAAACTTTCCAGTTACAGCCAAAGTTCTCCCCCTATGTAACAGGCTGCTAAAAATGTGTTGTTGTCCGTAGACCAAGGTAAAATAAATATACGAGTTCAATAAAAATATATACTTCAAATACATTCAACTTACAAATATTTGTACAATCACACAAACATGAAAATACAGAGCTTTAAGAGAGTCTTGCTAAAACATTCCACAAGTCTCTCTGAGAAATAACCGCGAATGACTCTAGATTAATTCTGAGGAAATATGTGGGAAGGAAGGTATATTTATACCTTCTTGGAAACATAAAATATGGAGGCAAAATATTTGCCGAGATTGAGGAACTGCAGGTTCCCTGAACACTCTTGATGAATACAAATATCTGGGTATCTCCAGGTATATAATTTATAAATATATAAATAACATATATACACTCGCAACTTCAACGAAATAGGCTTCTTCTAAATTGGCAGTTTAGAAGAAGGCAGCGCAGGTCATTTGTCACTGTCAACAAATAGCAAGTTGAAAAGAAGAAACGCGCAATAATGACTGTCACGCATTAATGCGGGCCAACGTGAGAGAGGGGGAACCAAAACAAAAGGGGAAAAGCTGCAAGGAAACAAATACCTTGTAGAGAAGGATCTCCCTCCAAATAAGGAGAAAAGAAAATAATCACAATTCGGTTTCTGGGTTACAGTGTCAGGTTAGCTGAAAATATAATTGTTTTCCTTAATATATACACATTTTTTTCCTTTATATAGGAAGGAAAAAATCATATTTTTTCAGCTAGCCTGAAACATTTTTAGCAGCCTGACATTTTTGTTTTATTTGGGTAATTGTTGAAACAAAACAAAATTCATTTGGATGCTATAGACAAATTTCTAGCATCCTGTGACATTATTGGCGTATATCTGTCTGTGACACAACAGTTCTCCTTTATTATCATAAATTAAATTGAAAAAAAAAAACCTTTTAGGAATCCAAAAAAATTATTGAACATTAGAGTATCATTGGCTGTGTCACGATTTTTTTTTTTACCAGCATGCCTACTCTAGAATATCAGAATTGGGACGAGCCTCGTAAATAGAAAAAAAAATCCCAGCGTCAAATTGAAAGTTCATCTCAACTCGGAGTAAATCCTCTCAACCAAATAATTAATCTGAGAAAATATGACTTGACTTCATGACAAGGGAGGGGCACATAACCAACATTTGTGAGATTAAACAATTTCCCGTCGCCACACCCTGTACAAAAAGGGTGAAATTAATTTGTCCACCCTGAGCAGAATAAGCCCTGGAGATAATAAAATCTGGTCGCGATCCTTTTTTATTGATCGTAAAATTCAGAAATTATAGGCTGATGCATGAACAATAAAAATAACAACTGGAATCTAGCTGAGTAATTCGAAATGGGTAATGTAAAGCTTCCTGATTTCTGGGAAAACACTCAGTGCCTGCTTGACTTTCAAATTGTTGGCGAATGATTACATCACAGCTTCGCAAATATATTCGGCAGCATCATGGTGCTGTGGAGCACACTGATGAAAAAGCTAGCAAATTCAATAAAAAAAAGTACTGTCAGCAAAAAAGGTACTGAAAAGCATTTGTACTCAAAAAACTCTTGTCAAAATTTCAGTTCCTACGACAATTGACTTGATCATGATGAACCATTGAAAGATCGGGAGGTTTTGGAAAATATTTCTCGGCATGTGCTGATTTTCCTAGTGTTTTCTTTCTTCCGCTGATTCGAGATTTGTGCTTCTAAAATGCTTGCCTATAATATCATCGAAGTATATATATTATTTAAATACGATACAGTACAGTATTCGCTGTCAATATTATCTCGAAAGCAGTATGTAAGGTATTCCGATGAAGTCCAAAAATGTGCGGCTATACTAAATCTTATTCGATTCCAAGTTTTTTTTTCTTTCAAGGTAGTTTTTTTATTGCAGAATTATTTCGTCAAAGTGTCACCCATATGATGGTGCGCCTTGATTTCTCAACATGAAATGATACTCATTCTAATTTTAAATTGTTACGATTTTCACCAACTATTATTGTGCCATTTTCGGGAAGAGGTGCGTGAGTACATTTGGTATTCATGCGATGTTTGGAACGGATTACTGCTTAAGGAAAGATCAAGGTTAACGTCGGTGGCAGTGAGTGACCTCGGCAAGTCATTTGCATTTCATTTTGGACTGACAATTAAAAATTTGAAACTCGGAGCTCATTCCACTCACTGTCCATGAACACAGAAAGCTTTGAACAGGAAGACCGGAATAAGTCGAAAGGAATGGGTGTCAGGGATCAGATGCCGGCACGGCTGAGGATAATGGTTGCTTCTCGGCTCGTTTTCTCCTGTACATGAGGGTTATTTCCAAATTTTCTGAATTTGGCTGCAGTTTTTAAGGAAAAAAAAATTAAATAATTTTTTTTTACGAAAACAGTAGATAGCTTCATGCTCGTTAATTAAACTAAAAAGCGTGTACTCAAGCAAATGCCGTGATTTCCTGGAAGATAAAAAAGAGGCTGCATGTATGAAGTAGAAATTAGAGGGGTACAATAGTCTTGGTTCATCGGTTTTTTTAAACAAATCAGAAAGTGTATTTTTTTCTCCAGAACTGAGTACGGTGAAGAGCATTTTATTCTGATGAATGCCGTACTTTTCGCGTAAGATGGATGAGGCTGTCCGAATTATAAATTTAGGCGATGCTTCCGTTTCTTTCATTTGAACTCTCATTCTTGAGCAAAAATAGATATAAATTATTGTTCACAAAAGCACAACAAAAAAGGCTTCATATTCCAAATTTCATTAAAACTTAGATTCAATTGAATGCCGTAATTTATTTGTGCAAGTATACTCAGGAAAAGCAATGTTGAAGTTCCCAAAAGACTTCTGCGTTTTGAGTTGTCCAGTCCTTTTCAAAACGGAATGACCAGAAGACAATTTTTTTTCAGAAAAAATCGGAGTAATTTTACAGTACTTTGCATTAGTGACCTTGAAAATAAGGTAACTTAAGGTTATATAGAAACTTTCTTGGATGGGTTTGTTAAAGAAAGACTTGATAAAAGTATAGTACTATGTCAACTTTGAGTTATTGAAATTGGAGTTATTGAGAAAGGATTTTCCTTTCAAACCTCCATAACTCAAATTTTCTGATACAATTTTTTTTTCTTGACCTGAGAAACAGAAAGCAATCAAAAACTAAATTGATGTGTTTTTAGATAAATTGAAACACTAATTTGGCAAATGAATCCTTGCCTCCAAGTTCAGCATCCTGTCAACTCATTCAAGAAGCAATTCAAGTCCCGGGATACAGTATCACCATTTACAATCTCCTGAAATTATTCTATCTTCCTCACAGCAAAAATGCTTTTTTCCTCAATAACTCAAAAAATTCCCCGACTTGAATTTTTTCACGCCTTTAGAAATTTGACTTAGAGATTTGACAATTCCAAAAAGTAATAGACCTTCCTTCTATATAGTGCCTTGAATTACTTTTCCACTTGATTATTCTTCTCCGGATGGTTTGACTTCAACAAAGGTATGCGTATATAAAATGCAGGCATACTTCGTTTAAAAATCAAATATTTATTCTATACGTCTAAAAATATGTGCACGAAAGAGGAAACTTTCTTATGTACCCCTCTTCGAACAAGCTATAGCTCCGACTGAACAAGGGGAGCGCTGTTAATGGGAGATTCTCTCCCATCCGGTCTTTTCTTTTATTTTTTTCTCATTCTTCTTCTTGGTCTTCTTCCGGGGTCAACAGAGAACGGAGCCTATCAGCAGATCATGAAGAAGGTTCTGGTCCCGATCGTGGAACGCAATTACTGCATCAACCTCCTTCGCAGCACGCGGTTGGGAGACAGATTCCGTCTGCACCCGACGTACTTCTGCGCCGGGGGCAAAGCCGGCGAAGACACGTGCACCGTGAGTTCTCTTGTTTTCACGTTTTCCCGGATTATTTCATTAATAAAAATAAATAAAAAAAAGGAAAAAAGAAGCACATTATATGGATTAACGAAAGCTTATGCCGGACCCTAAGGGAGCGACTCCTGCTCTCTTGGTCGGCCCTGGGTGCACCTTTTAGGGTGCATTATACACACGCAGAAGAAAATAATGTACAGGTGTTTTGCGAGTTTAATATTACAGTATTACTCTCTTTCGATTTTTTTTTTTGCGGGATGTCGCGAATGTATAGCATGAATTAGCAGTCTGTATAAACAGCTATACAGACGGTTTGACAGCTTTCGTGGGGCAGTTCGTATTATCGCATTTTTAAAATGAAGGCCATTTTATTCATCAGATCAGGGAAGACAATTGCGTATCTGAGTTGTCAGAAAAAATTTCGCTGAGTTGAAAATTTTTTTGTGCCTGAATGACGATGCGCTGGATTAGCGATAATCTCCTCCCAGCAAAGGATAAGTTTTTGGTGAGCCTGTGACCCTAACCTGAGTTTGGTTCCCAGGCTAACTAAGGAAAAGAAAACTACATTTCTTAAAGATGGCCGGATTTTACGGTCCTAGGAATGATTTCCTACTAGTTTATCCCAAATTGTCCACCCAAAAGGATTAAACCGTCTGGTCCTTCCCTAGGAGGCTGGGAGGGGGTCCGTTTACCTCCAAAATTATACTCCAAGGAATATCTAATCCGAAGGGGTCGGCGTGGTATGCAGGTGCAAATTTTCTGGAGAAAAAAATTAGGAAATTGGTGGTGGGAACCATAAGTGATTACTTTGTGAGTGCAAATAATGATCAGAGAATTTTCTTGGGCTCAGATTCTGGTGAAATGAATAATATTATTGTTATATCTGAATGGGATTATTTGGTTCAACATAAGAATTTTGAATAAAAATTCAAATCATGTAAAGCTGGGGTACATGTCTTATGTTGGGATACATTTTTTGGCAAATTTCATGCCAAAAGTTGAAGTGTGTTCTACTTGAGGGTTCATGGTAATTGAGTAAATATGGTTCTCCTGTGCCACATGCATATAAATACAGTTTTAACTCTCTTTTTACCATGGTTTGGTTTGGGGGGGGGGAGTGAATAAAAGTTTTTGACCTACGTTCAAATTATTGTCGCGAACCACCGGGTCTCTTCCCGGCAATGGTTTCATTAGTCCTCAAAAGGACTGTTAAATATATGTACATTTTTTGGCAAATTTCATGCAAAAAGTTGAAGTGTGTTCTACTTGAGGGTTCATGGTAATTGAGTAAATATGGTTCTCCTGTGCCACATGCATATTTTATGTCAAAATTGAGAGAAAAATGGTACCAAACCAAACCCCCCCCCCCCCCTCACTTATTTTCAAAAACTGGATGCAAGTTTAATAACAGCGCTTGGTGGCCCAGAGAAGGGCCGTTTGGTTTCATTAGTCCTCAAAAGGACTGTTAAATATATGTAATATCTTCAAAATTGCCTTCTGCTGCCTCTTCCTCAGTGTCACTGATGCTCTCCATGTCATTTTCTTCTTGATGTGGCCCTCTTATCTAATCTTATTTTCAATTATAGGTTTATAGCACATTCCCAGCAGCTAGTACTGGCTTTTGTGTTCTCAACTTTGAATAAATATCCATTGTAGTATGCGTTTTGGCCATCCTTCTGATTTTTGATGATCTGAAGTGCACCAGCCATTGGATCAACAAAGTGAACTGTAGATTTTGCAGAAGTCAGCAAGTGATGCTTTGACATTCAAAGAATCACTGATGACCACTGCAGGTGAGGAATCCCTTTTATACTCAACTTACAAACATATTGGTACTTGGCTGTGTGCTGGGCCTGCTGGTGAAAGGTGCAGCTTACCATCAAGAGTTACAAAAATACCTGTAGTCCCCAAATTTTTGCACCAAGGGGGGCTTTTGGACTACACCTAAGAAAAATGGGTTTAGTGTCATAAGTGGTTAACCTTTTTTTTCAAATGGTTTTACAAGTTTAGATACGCTTGATTCTTATTGGAAATTTTGGACCAGGTTAAATGGACAGAAAAACGTATTGTTACGGAAAAATTAGAAAATTAGTGGAATTCAATGTACGTCCCAATTCAAATTTAGGTGTTTTTATATTGTGGTTTTAGGGTCACTAAAAATTGGATGCGCATCTTGCTTGGGCATGCAATGCAACAAAAATGATTGACTAAAAACATTTTGTCTTCATTGATAGTACGTGTACTATTCAAGTAAATACTATACTCATATACTATCGTATTTGAAAAATGAAGCTTTGAACGTGATTGCAGCCATATCATGTTATTTGTGGGGTGTAGTCCAAAAGCCCCCCCTGCCAAAAGCCCCCCTGCCAAAAGTCCCCCTAGGTTCAAAAATTGGGGATTACAGGTATTCTTGCAACTCTTGATGGTAAGCTGCACCTTTCACCAGGTATTCTTGTAACTCTTGATGGTAAGCAGCACCTTTCACCAGCAGGCCCAGCACAAGGCCAAGTACTAATATTTTGGTGAGTTGAGTATATGAAGGGACTCTTCACCTGCGTGTCCGGTCAGCCGCCAGCCGTTCAATTCACGGTCGTGCACCCGCCAGCCATCAAACGCTGGTCCCTCCAATTGCCAGCCAGGGCAGTGCTTGGTCTCTCCAATCCCCAGCCCACCAAACTGCGGTCCGGTCACCCAATTGTTGGGGCACCCCAACAATTGGGTGACTAGGATCCCATTGATTCTAAAAATTCAAAGCATCATCATTTGCTGACTTCTGCAAAATCTACAGTTCACCTTGTTGGTCCAATGCCTGGTGCACTTCAGATCATCAATAATCAGAAGGGCGGTCAAATTGCATACTATAATGGCTATTTAGAAGAAAATGACATGGAGAGCATCAGTGACAGTGAGGAAGAGGCAGCAGAAGGCAATTTGAAGATGATTATTGAAGTCCTTTTGAGGACTAATGAAACCAGATAGCCCTTCTCAGGGCCACCAAGCACTATTATGAAACTTGCATCCAATCATAAAAAAGTGGTTGGGGGCTTTTGGCAGGGGGGCTTTTGACCTAGGGGGGCTTCCGGGGGGGCTTTTGGTTGGGTACCTTATTCGGATGGCATGGAATGATTGCCTGGGTCATTCGTTGCCATTGTTCCATTTTCTTGTTCCGACGTCTCGAGTTACGAATCGCAAATCATAAACAAGAATAATATCAATTCAGCTACGAAAAATTAAATTGGAGTAAGACGCATCAAATATGTCCTATTCATTATGTTGGTACGGTACCTGATGGTTGATAAGGCTTTCATTTTACAATTACGCGCATGATTTTGGGTGCTACGAAGTTGAGTTAAAAATTGATTGGATCTTCTTGAAGTCTGAAGAGGTTTCCGATCGATTTTCTGACGCACTCCGTTGCAATCAGTCATCTGCATTTTTTTGCCTTCCATAAAATCAAAATTCAATTGAGGAAGGGGATTTCAGATTTTGTTATGGAATAATGCCCAAAAATTGGAATTTGCATGGAAATTAGATTGCATTTCCTTCTCTGGAAAAGTTCTTTGTTCTCTTGTCACAGAAAACAGAGCGCATGAAATTCGAATATGACCAACCCGAGAAATACGGTACGTCGATTGTCTTATTCTTTGGAAATCGAGAACTAAAGATAGATTATTTTTCATTTAGTAGGAATCAGCTCAAGTTTTCCATGATACTCGGAAGATGGAAACGTTCGTTAGTACGGATGAAACAATGATGATGTGCAAAAGTTAAAGTTAATCCACAATATTTGCTTTGAAATTCGAAATTTGGATAAGATTTCACTCAGCAGTTGGATCTGAAGGAATGTCCTCCCGATAATTCGATAATTATTACTGCAATTAAATGCCGAGATATTATTCTTTTCGATGACTGGCCGATGTTTTGTTCAGGTAGATTCTTTAACGAAGAAAGCTCATATTGATCCCGGTTTTTATTCTCAAATCATTGCAATGTTTTTATTCTCGATACAAAGTCGAACGTCAGCCCTTCTGCTGTCCATAGGTACCTGAATAATCGATTGTTCATCACAGTACTGTGTTAAGTACTATGACGATTTCACATAACTTATTTCCTTTGTGAGTTTTCATATTTAGGAACTGAACTTCTAGGAAAATAACACGCCTTTTCCATATAATCACCGACAATACATGCAGCTGTGTAAGTGTACGGTTTTTACGAGAGGAAATATTTGAAGCCGTACACCTTGTTTTTAAGTTTTTAATATGGCTTGATTAAATTTGCAAAGGAGGATTTGAAATTAGAATTGTCGAACAGGATTTTTAGAAGAAGATTTTCAAGAACAGGATAAATGAATTCAACACAGCAATTGGCCGGTGCGCGAACCGACCAGGGATTCTCTCCCAAACAGCGCAAGCCTTTGTTAGCAGATCGACAAATTGAATTGAATACAAAATATGCACAACAGGTTTCCGCGGTAAAATATGCACAACAGTTTTCCGACTTGGTAAATTT